CGCCCGGGTCGCCGGCGGGAAGGCGCTGCAGCGGCCGCGGCGACAGTTACGAGGACCCGCGCGCGCCCAGCTCCGGGGTGCAAGCAGGGGCAACACAGGCAAAGTCAGAGGGAGAACCCCGCCGCCCCACGGCTCTGCGCCGAGAGGAGCGGAGCAAGGGCAGAGCGAAGCAGTGCAAGAAGAGACGGCTGGAGCCCGCGGCGAGACCCGGGTGCGCGGGGCTCGGGACCAGCACCAGCTCCGGCCGCCGCCGCCGTCCTGCCCCTCCCCTCCCGCGGAGCCTGACTTCACTCCGCCGGCCGTGCGAGCCGGGCGTAATTCACACTTTGCAGCCGCGGACCCTGCGCCAACCACGGCCGCCGCCTGCGTGACGTCACGACGCCGCGCCGCAGGCCCCGCGCCGCCGCAGCGCCCTGGGAGTCGGGCTCGCAGCGAAGGGGGTCAGCCGCCTTCCTCCTGTTCCGCATCCTGCAGCTCGGTCATCGTCCCTCCCGCCGCGCACCGCCCTCCTCCCCCAGCGCTCTCCCCTGTCTGCCCCCCACCCACGGCGCGTGCGCACGAGGCCCCGCCGTGTGGGGCATCCCACTTAGCGCTAAACTTGGGTTCGAGCGCGCCGAGGGTGTGGGGAGGGCTCAGCCTACGCGGGAGGCGCGATTCCGGCCCTGCGACCTCAGAATCCCACAGCACGCCGCGCAGTCGCAGCGCTCATCCCTGACCGCGGGGTCACCGCCGTGTTTCCCTCCTTGAATTCCCATTCTTGGGCTTCGCGCGGGACCGCTGCGGCAGTGACGTCAGCGGGCCGCGCGGGCCCCGTCCTCCCGGGTACGTCACTGCCAGTCCCTCCGCGGGACCGGGCTTGGGCGCTCCCCTAGCAGGTGCGGGCCCTGGGTATGTCCCCGGCCGCGCGGAGAATCGGGGAGCCGAGGATGCGGGAATGAGGAAGGGGCGAAGAGGTGGAGGGAAAACACCGACACCGAGAAAGAAAAAGTGAGAGCGTGCACTGGAAAAAATGAGAAAGAAAAGATATTGAGAAGACAAAGGAGAAAAGGAGACTACCCTCTTACAGAAAGTGTTTTTGTTTGTTGGCTTTAATTTTTAGAAAGCAGGAGAATGTCAAGAGCTTTTGACCTAGTTGGTAAACTGGATATGTAATTTGCAGATTCATTTTGTCACAATTCTTTTTAAACAAAGCTTTTCAGCTGCAACCCATTGTTTCAAATGCATTCCAGCCTCTAGGACTTCAGTCGGAACAAGTTCTCCCCCGCTGGCAAAATTGTTAATTTGACTGCTCTCAGGGCACCCACTCTTCCACTTATTATGACTCGCCACTGGCCAGGTGGATAGTACTGCATAGCCATTACTGATCAGAGCAGGAATCAAATGCTCATGATCCCATAAATCAACGAAAGTCTGCAAGACCTTTTATCTTTCCATGGCATCTGGTTTTTTTATATCAAAACTTTCTCCTCCGTTGCTATTTTTCGACTTGTCTGTTTTCTACTATTAAAAGAAATATAACTTCTCCAGTGGTTTCATGGATTTTTTTCTTCACTATATAGTAAACTCCCCTTTACTGCAACAACTGGCCCAACCCATCTTTGAAAACCTACTGACCTCCCTCAACATCTAGTAGACGTATTGAGCCTTTACTGTATGCTTAGGATTAAGTGGAACACTTTCTCCTATTTACTTCTGACAAAACCCCATGAGGTAATAGTGTTTAAATTGAAACTAGGCTCAGGGAAACAACGTGCACTAGATCTTATACAGATAAGTGACAGAACGAACTGCAAATAATGTCTGAATTTTGTGTACAACCAACCACCCAGAAGGTGGTATTGGTGTGATGTAAAACAGTATATGCCAAATAACTACACCACATTTAATAATATCTAAGAGACTCAGTTCGATTAAATCATTTAATAAGACTTAGGGCACTAACTAAACAATGCATCTCTCCTTTCAGCAGAGTGGGGAGCTAACATTTACTATGCATCCAATGTGAGCCCATAGGTATTTTACATATAGTGTTTAACCCAACCCTACATAATAGCCACACAAGTAAACATGTGCTCCCAATTCTACAGATGGGGAGTCAGGTTCCAAGACCATAAATCATGTGTGCCACTGAATTCTGTTCTGTGTGATTTCAGAGCCATGTATTTCTACCACACCATGAGCTATCTCAAGACCAGAATTTCATCCATCTATCATCTATCTACCAAGAGAGAGGTGGGTTGATTTGCTGCACATGTTCCTCATCCAGGACATGGAAGCTGAAGGAGCTGCAGGCTCGACGGCCGCCCTGTGCCAATGAGGTGAGTCAGCAGATCGTGGTCAAACTTGCGGTAGCGCCTGGGACCCTGCATGGACCTTCCAGGTGTAATGGCTGGTGCTTCACTTACACTTCTTAAATCTTTTGCAAATTTCTATTGTGGCCAACCAAAATCAAAATCATAAAAGGAAGAGAATTCTGGTAAATATAGTTCCAGCTCAGCTATATTGCAGGTATAAACCACCCTGGTCCAACTCTCGTCTGGGGTTCTTTTAATTGTGTTTAATTTTCAGATAAAGACCACAGCAAAATCATGCGTAGTCCATATAATGCAACTATCTCATATAACCCAGAACAGCTCCTTCCCTCCCAAAAGACAAGAATCTTTAAGCAATGCTCATTCTTCTTGATGAGTCACAGTATCCCTTTGATAGTTTATAACTTAAATATTAAGATATAAGGTTATCCACTATTAACACATCTTAGGGGAAAGAGGGGAAGAATAATTGCTTAATATACTGTGCACAAATATATTCATACTAGAATGAAGGGAAAATGATCATAACTGTTATAGTCCTTGTATCTGCAATTGGCAACATGATCATAATTACTATTTATAACTACTTTCTTTTTCTTCCATTATCTGTTTTATATCCCCTAAGCCTTTGGCAAGAATCTCAGATGATAATGGTTCCTTGCCTTGAGGGGCAACCCAAACCTTCATTCCTGAAGAATCTGGGCCATTAAAGGTCCTACTTCTATTGTGTTGTATTTTGCCATTAACTCATATCACAGAATATGCAAGTACTAAGTACTAAGAGGCACCTCTCAATTATCTCCTGCATTCCAGGCATACTCCTCCTTTCTTCAATTGTGTAGCAGCAATTCAAAATCTCCTTAATAGTCAAGATCCATAATTCCAGGCAGTACAGTAGCCTCTTTGCATGTTGTTTAAATAGCATAAAGATCCCCAAATGGTCAAGTGGCAGTCTCAACTCCAGTTTAACTGAGCTATTGCTGTGTACCCGGGTGAAAGCATTCTTTCTGGGGACTAAGACCTCTGGACCAGAAGAGCCCAAAGTTTCAGGAATGGGAAGCAAAATTCTGCATGTGACTCACTAGGTGTAAAAGTGAGAGGATCTACCTGGTTCTACCTCTTGATTCCTGGACCATGGATCTATATTTAGATTTAGAACATATGCCAAAACCTAGGGAATATTATCCTAGCCCCACAAGGTGTTGTTACCCAGGTAGAGCAATTATTGAGTCTTCAAAAGGTCTTTCCAATGTTGCAACATGGATGAACCTTGAAAATAAGCTAAACGAGGAAAGCCAGATACAGAAAGCTACATATTGTATGATTTCATTTATATGAAATGTCCAGACTAAGCAAACCATAGAGACAGAAAGCCAATTAGTAGTTGCCAGGGGCTGGAGAGAGGAAAGAATAGAGAGTGACTGCTTAATGGGTATGGGGATTTCCTTTTGGGGTGATGAAAATGTTCTGGAACTCGATAGTGATGATTACGCAACACTGTGAATGTACTTAATGCCACTGAATTTTACACTTTTAAATGGTTAAAATAGTAAATTTTTATCACAATAAAAAGAAAAAGGCCATTCAATCATCCAGTCAGACCTACTCCAGGGTAATAGACAACGTAATAAGACCAGTGAATTCCATGAGCATGAACCCATTGCTGCCTTTATTTTCTGTAAAATGTGTTTCTTGTTTAAAATTAATGCTGTGTGGAATATCATTAAGTTGACTGAAGCATTAATATTATATATTAATATATTAATATTAAAATAGTAAGCTATTTAAGACTGTTTTAAAGTCTTTGTCTATTAAGTGTGATGCGTGTGTTTCTTTGGGCTGGTTTCTGCCATTTTATTTTCTTCCTTTGAATGTGTCATGTCTTCTTGTTTCTTCATATGCTTTGTCATTTTGTTATTATTGTTGTTAAACATTGTGCATTTGAAAAAACAGCCACCTTTCCCAGTCTTTGTGGACTGGCCCTGTACCAGGGAAGTGCTTCTTCATTAATTAGCTGAGCTTAGATTCTAAGCTTTGGGGTCAGCCCAAGGAGAAATCTTAAGATCTTTTTAGGTATATTTACTGAGCACACATCTTGCCTGGGCCCATGTATGGATGTTTTGATTTCCCTGTGTACACGGCTGCTTTGAAATGTCCTAGTATCCCAAGGTGTCTCTCTTTGGGGCCCCCACTCATAATCTCTTATCCCAGGTGTCTGTGGGTCATCTCCTTTCAGTTGTCCTGAGCAGCTCTCATTGCCCCTTCCTGGTTGAGATCCAAGTTAAACCAAAAAGATCAGTCCTTCAGGCAACTCCAGGTAGGTTAAAATGTTGAATATAAGACCTGCTCTGCTCCCTCTGGCTTGTAGTTTTCTTTTTTGTACTTTTTTTGTTTGGCTTTGGTGTTAGGGTAATACTGGTTTCATAAAATGAGCTGGGAGATAAACCTTAACGTCTGTTTTCTGAGAGAGTTTACATGCAAGTGTTATTATTTCTTCCATAAATGTCTGATAGGATTCACCAGTAAGACTCTCTGT